AGCGAGCGATGACGACCGACGACAACGACTGCGACGACGACGAAGATGACGACGACGACGACGACAACTCAGACAACGACAACGAAGAGCGACGACGATGATGACGACGACGACGACGACGAGCGACGACGACGACGACGACCACCGACAACGAAGAGCGACGACGACGATGACGACGACGACGGACGACGACGACGACGACGCCCGACAACGAAGAGGGAAGAGGAATTGTGGCGATCACATGCGTGCGCCACGCGGCGTATAAGAGGTGTGCTCCTTACCTCCCTCCTACATCCTCGTCGTCGTCGGTGTTGCTGTCGTCGTCCTTCTCCTCCTGTGGCCCTCTCTCCTACGAACACCACAAGTGCCTGAGAGCACCGCAACTTTCCCGCGAGCACCGCCCCTATGTGGATCTCTATGCGGATCTCTACGCGGACCCCTCTGGGGATCTCTCCTATGCACAGCCCTGCGGATCCATATGCGGATATCTGTGCGGATGCCTTTGCAGATCCCAATTCGGGTTTCTACGCGGATCCCTTTGCGCCCGGCGGCAGTGCCGCAGGCGCACTGGGGGCTGGAGCGTTACGTTATAGGGGGGGGGCGGAAGGGGCAGAACGCGCGCTATGGCCCAAGCTGGAGATCATTTTTTTATTCCGGCCGGTAACGCTCGTTACCCGGGGGGGGGGGGGGGTCGTGCCCCCCGGGTAACGGTAACGCTTGGGCTGGGCGGGGTATGGCGAAGCAGGGGCGCTCTGCGATCGCCATAGTATGCGCGCGAGCAGCACTCTCTGCCTGAGAGCACCACAGTGGCTTGCGATTCGAGTACAAGCGCAAAGCCCGCCGCGTGGTCCCGGCACCACGCCCGCGCCCGCGCGCGCGACGACGATGATCGACGAGCGACGAGCGACGAGGTCGACGACGACGACGACGACGTTTGCCGCCTGTTTCGGCCTCCGGAGGCCGTTTTCGGGCGCCGTCGACGACGACGACGACGACGACGACGACGACGACGACGACGACGACGACGACGATTCGAGTACAAGCGCAAAGCCCGCAAGCACCAGCATCGCGCATGCGAGCGCCGCAATGGCCTGCGAGCGCCCACAGTGCGCCTGCGACCACCACACCACAGTGCGCATGCCTTCGGGCACCAGCATGTTGGAGGGGAAGACCGAGACCCCCCCCGCGTACGAGCGTTACCGTTACGGGGGGGGGGGGGGGGAGAGGCCCGGGTAACGAGCGTTACCCCCCAGAGGATAAAAAAACAATCTCCTGTAGAGAAACACGCTCTTGAAAAAATGAGCCCAAGCAGTCTGTGACGTTGACACGCCGCTCCGCGACCTTGTCAACGCAATCAAGAAGGAGGCGGCACTTCGGATACGCTTCCAAAAAATTACCCTGGTGGCGAAAATCTATGGGCAAAAGCCGCACCAGATATTATCCGTTAACGGACATTTGAAGGCGAACGATGGCCAGTGTCGAACCTGTGTATGAGAACTGTGTTGGGCATCCGAGGTTACACCGAGACGCACCAAATGTACCAGGCTGCGTATAGGCTGGAATGGAGTGGATTAAACACTCGCCATATGTTGTTTTACATACCGGCAAACATGGTGGATATTGTATTGTCCCCTAGTTTGTATTGGAAGACCTGGTACAGCGAAATGGCTTAGGTCAACAACGAGCACATCAGGAGAATATTTCAATCGTATTGCAGCAGAACGAATGAGCTTTCGACGACTCGCAAATGGCCCACAAAGCTTGTCCAACAATTCTACACGGACTCCAAACACAGCACTAACAGATTTCACTTCACCGTGAAAACGCACAAAGCGCCAGGGAAAGTTGGGCTTCTCGTGATTCACAGTTGCGCAGGCCATATCTTCTCGGATCTGAGCAGGATTTACAGTGGCGGCTTCGGGGAGCATGTATGACAGAATTACGCTCACGTGTTCGACAGCACAACGGGGATCACGACAGCATGTGCGCAAGGGTATCGAACGCCGTCTTGGGGTACGAAAGTGGGGATCATCATGATGTCTTGTATGGTGTATTGGCAAATCAGTACCTGACCACACCGATCATCGAGGATACCACCTCTCCTGTTGAGGGTGCCCAACGCGCCGCTGATGCAGAAGCTCTGGGAAGCGTGGGATCGATACCAAAGCAGTCTTAGGAATTCCAGTGGTGCATTGTGTTCTGAATTCATTTGGCAGGTGATCGGGGTAGGTAGATGGGCTCGCCATTATTACCATTTCTGAAGCCATATTGCTTCTGTATTTTTTGCTGGGCGCTCACAGGCCACAAGGCCACTCCTTTTCCAACCCAACCGAAGATTTCAGAGTCAGATCCCATAGCAGTTGGTAGAGATCCATTGGACATGGAGTTGGGCTGGTAGTTCCAGTCCGCAGCGAAGTCGCACACTTTACATGTTATGGTCTTGAGTCGTCGCCAAGAGAAGATATCTAGAAGGATTGGAGTAAAGAACACGGTGGTCTCGTAAGGGGCTCGATCTTCCCTGCAGACCTCAGACGTCTTCAGAATTCAGAGGGACGCTTCTGCTCAGCCTCGGCCTCCAGAGGCCCCTTTCTGGGCTCCGGAGGCCGTCAGAGATGACATGGGTGGGGCATACTGGCCCTGGGGAGCTCAAGTCCCCTCCCTGGGCGTTATTTTGTTCCCAACCATCCTGTGTTGTTGGGTCCTCGTTTTGAAGAGACAGCGCCCCGAGTTCCTTCCTCCTCCCGCTTCTCCCTCCCCCTCCTCCCTCCTCCCCCTCATTGCCTCAGCTCTCGGCACACCCCTCACACGTTTCGTGGCCTCATAGGGAGCTCCACCGAAGGTCCCAGTGGCACAGCCCGCATGCGGTTCCCCCACCCAGGGCAGCGTTTCGTGGCCCCATAGGGAGCTCAACCGCAGGCCCCAGTGGCACAGCCCGCATGCGGTTCCCCCACCCAGGGCAGCGTTTCGTGGCCCCATAGGGAGCTCCACCGAAGGTCGCAGCGGCACAGCCCGCATGCGGTTCCCCCACCCAGGGCAGCGTTTCGTGGCCTCATAGGGAGCCCCACCGAAGGTCCCAGTGGCACAGCCCGCATGCGGTTCCCCCACCCAGGGCAGCGCTTCGTGGCCCCATAGGGAGCTCCACCGAAGGTCTCAGTGGCACAGCCCGCATGCGGTTCCCCCACCCTGGGCAGCGTTTCGTAACCCCATAGGGAGCTCCACCGAAGGTCCCAGTGGCACAGCCCGCATGCGGTTCCCCCACCCAGGGCAGCGCTTCGTGGCCCCATAGGGAGCTCCACCGAAGGTCCCAGTGGCACAGCCCGCATGCGGTTCCCCCACCCAGGGCAGCGTGTCGTAGCCCAACAGGGAGCTCCACCGAAGGTCCCAGTGGCACAGCCCGCATGCGGTTCCCCCACCCAGGGCAGCGTTTCGTGGCCTCATAGGGAGCTCCACCGAAGGTTCCGGTGGCACAGCCCGCATGCGGTTCCCCCACCCAGGGCAGCGTTTCGTGGCCCCATAGGGAGCTCAACCGCAGGCCCCAGTGGCACAGCCCGCATGCGGTTCCCCCACCCAGGGCAGCGTGTCGTAGCCCCACAGGGAGCTCCACCGAAGGTCCCAGTGGCACAGTCCGCATGCGGTTCCCTCACCCAGTACAGCGTTTTGTGGCCCCATAGGGAGCTCCACCGAAGGCCCCAGTGGCGCAGTTCGCATGCGCCCCCACCCGCCCAGGGCAGCGTTTCGTGGCCCCATAGGTAGCTCCCCCGAAGGTCCCAGTGGCGCAGTTCGCATGTGTCCCCCCCCACCCAGTACAGCGTTTCGTGGCCCCATAGGGAGCTCCACCGAAGGTCCCGGTGGCGCAGTTCGCATGCGTCCCCCCCACCCAGTACAGCGCTTCGTGGCCCCATAATAGAGAACTCCACCGATGGTCCAAGTGGCGCAGTTCGCATGCGCCCCCACGACCCACTACAACGTTTCGTGGCCCCATACGGGGCTCCCCCGAATGCGATACCCACAACTGCATATGGTTGGGTCCTTCGCCCGGCTAATTTTCTCTAGCGCCCCCCACGCATCCTGGGCGCACCTGGGACCAATTCGCCGGCCCAACGGGCCAGGGCGTGCTAAGATCTCCGGTAACTGGTTAACAGTATTAACAGTATTTCTAGTTCGCGCGCGCGGGGCGGCCCCTGGGGGTCCCCCGGCGAAAAGTACCCCGACCAACGCCCGGTCGCCGCCCGGTCGCCGCCCGACCGCCGCCCGACCGCCGCCCGACCAAGTCTACTCAGAGATGGTTTTCCTTCTGGGTGCGGCCTCTCAGGCTCCCCAGAGCGCGCTCAGAGTGCCCCAAGAGGCCCCCAAGACTGCCCAAGAGGCCCCCGAGACGCCCAAAGAGCGCTCGAAGACGCCGAAGATGACCCCAAGACGGCCCAAAAGGCCCCCAAGACAGCCCAAGAGGCCTCCAAGACGCCCCAAGAGCCTTCCAAGAGGCCTCCGAAGAGAGCCCCAAGAGGCCAAAATCGTTGATTTTCATTGGTTTTTTCGATGTTTTTTGTGTTCTGGCTTTTTCGGCTTCCGGACGCTCCAAGACGGCCCAAGAGGCCCCCAAGACCGCTCCAAGACGGCCCACGAAGCTCCCAAGACGGCGCCGAAACGACCCAAGAGAGCCCTCAAGACGGCCCAAGTGCCGCCCAAGACGGACCAAGAGGCCCCAAGACGGGCCCAAGAGGGACTCAGGAGGGATACCGAGAACTCAAAAATGGAGCCCTCCGTCCCAGAAGGCGCCCAGGAGGTCCCAAAGAGGCCCCAAGAGGCCTCCAAGAGGCCCCAAGATGTCGCCAAGAGGCCCCAGGAGACTCCCAGGAGGCCCAAAAGAAGCCCCAGAAGGCTTCAAACATGTCTCCCAGGCGCCCCCGAACGGCCTCTCAACAGACCCCAAGAGGCCCCCCAAAGAAGCATCTTGACGACGACTCTATTTCGCCCCATCGAGAGACGACCCCCAGGGAACTGCTTCACCATCAAAAATCCCCACACAACGCGTCCGAACGACACCCGCCCCCAAGAGCGCAACATGGGCAACGAACACACAGACAAAAACCAGCGATGCCATATCACGGGCCGGCGGAATGAGCGAAGCGATTCAATAAAGTGGCCAAACTCCATGTACTCAAAGCTACGCGGCTCCTCGTCCGCCGAGCGCGGCTGCTCCAGACAAGCCGCCCCCAGCTTGCCACGGAGGGGGGGCCCACCTGGCACTCCGCCGCGCTGCGCTTCCGACGGTCTCGGCCCGAATGAAACCTCATCTTCCACTCCAGCACCTGCGGCAGGCTTGTCTGTGTGCCCGTCGGCCCGCGCGAAAGCACGCTCCTCGTCCCCCATCGCTCGTCTCGTTCCCTTCATCCTCTCCAGCTCCTCCTCCTGCTCCTCCTCGTCCGCCCCCTGCCCGTCCTTCTCCTCCATCCCTTTTCCTCTTTCCCCAAACAGGGCTCGCACTTAGCGGTTCTTACTTCGGTTCTAAAGTAACTGAGCTCCAGTACTGGTCCGGCAGGCTCGTGGTCGCCCGTCGCAGCCGTCGCAGCCGTTGCTGCCCGTCGCCGCCGTCGCTGCTGGGCATCGCTTTGCGTTGCATTGTATCGCATTGGATTGCTTTGCACTGCTTTGCACTTCTTTGCATTGCTGTACATTGGCTTGCATTCCTTTGCATTCCTTTGGGTCGCGTTTCAGAGTACGCGTTGCGTTGCATTGCGTTGAATTGCTTTGCTTTGCTTCGCATCGCATCGCATCGCATTGCATTGCTTTGCATTGCTGTGCAGTGTTCTGCATTGCTTTGCATTGCATTGCATTACGTTGCACTGCTTTGCATTGCGTTGCAGTGCCTTGCATTATGTTGCATTGCTTTGCATTGCTGTGCACCACGAAGATTACACTACATGGATTTCACCACCTGGATTGCACCACCTAGGCAGCACCACCTAGATTGCCCCGCATAGAATGCAAGAAATCACTCTTTGGGGTCCACGCCGGCTAGGCTAAATGACCCATCCCTGTCGCACACCAAGACGTGTCGATAGGATGAGCCAGGCGTTTCGTCTGAGACTTCCTCACCATTTGAGATCCTGAAGCTTGAAATGTGCAGCAGTTTCACGGATGGAGGGCGGATCGGTTTCAATATGTGGCTCTCGCCTTAGCGACGAGCACATTCTTGTTAGAAGTTTGCAACCGTTTCACGGATGGAGGGCGGGTCGGTGTCAAAATGTGGCTCTCGCTTCAGCGCAGCGCACGGTCGTCACCAAAGCTTGCAACAGATTCGCGGATGGAAGGTGGCTCATTTTCAACATGTGGCTCTTGCCTTAGCGCGCACACATTCATCGGTAAAGCATATAGCGAATTCAAACATGAAAGGCGGCTCCTTGTGAAAATGTCGTCTTAGCGCCGCGAAGATTCGTCGGAAAAGTTAGCGAAAGCGTCAAGGCGTCGTACGGATGAAGTCCAGGAATGGCGTTCTGGAACCACTTAGGACTGTCAGGACGCAATAGTTATGTAAATTCGAGGTGTTGAAATTGGCACGGTTTAGCATTACCAAGACGCAACAGTCACGTTGATACGCGGCGTTGGCGTTCCACGATCTGTGCTTTGGCACGATTGAAGATATTCAGACGGTTGTCTTCGAATGGGCAACCTCCCGCAATGAAAATCCATCACTGGATACTCCGACTCATCCTTTCAGCCTCAGTCCTCAATTCCGGGATGCTGAAAGGGACCCGGACTCCAAACTACCTAATCCCCTTGGGCGCGCCGCGTCTTACCGCGTGACTTTTTATGGCCATGACGGCCCCAGGACTGGCCAAGAGGGCCCCACGACGGTCCAAGAGCGCTTCGGATCGCCGCACGATCGGTCCAAGACGCCCAAGGGGGCCCCAAGATGGCCCAAGAGACCTTCGGGGCGACCCAAGAGCCCCTAGAGCCTTCTCAATGGGTGACCCGATAAACCAACATCGCTGATTTTCTTTCGGTGGTTCAATGGTTTGGGGGGCCTGGACTTTTCGAGCTTCCAACCCTCCGAGACGGCGCAAGGGGCACCGAAGTTCGCCCCAAGACGGCCCAAGAGGCCCCCAAGAGAGCCCCCAGACGGCACAAGAGGTCTCAAAAGCAGCCCCAAGAAGGGAAACACGAACAGAAAATCCGAGTGTTCCGCCCCAAGAAGCCCCCACGAGGCCAAAGGAGGCGCCAAGGGGCCCCAAGAATCCCCCAAGAGGCCCTCAAGACGCTCCAAGAGGCCCCGAAACGGCAGTCAAGAGGCCTCCCAAACGGCCCTCAAGAGTCCAAGAGGCTCCGCGACATCCCAACGAACATCCTAGAGGCCTATGACCCACAACCCACGCACGGTGGCGAGATGGACCGAAGGCGATTCAATCCCCCGCCCCCTGTGGTCTTGCCACACGGGTACCTGGCGTGCTGGACCCTACACGGTTTGGTTTTGGTTCTTTTCCGAAAAAAACTCCCCCTGCCGCTTCGGCCCGTCCTGCCGGCCACGCCGAAGGCCGGGAAACGACTTCAATGTCAGACAAAAACCACCAAGAAGGCTCAAGATGGTCTCCAAGAGGGCCAAGATGATGGCCTCCAAATGTACCCAAAATGGTCCAAGATGACCTCGAAGACGGCCCAAGAGGGTCCAAGATGCCTCCAAGTCCGCCCAAGAAGCCACGAGGACGGCCAAAGATGGCCTCAAGATGGCACAAGACGACCCAAAAGGCCCCCAAGAGGCCTCCAAGACGGCCCAAAAGGCCTCCAAGAGGGTCTCCGGGAAGGCCCGAAGAGGCCAACTTCGTTGATTTTCCTTTGGTGTTTGAAAGGCTTGGGCATTTGCTTCTGTTCGGCCTTCCGACGGCCCGAGATGGCCCAGGAGCCCCCAAAGCTCGCCCCAAGATCGCCCAAGAGGTCGCCAAGACGGCCCCAGAACGGCCCGAGAGGCCCCCAAGACGGCCCCAAGAGGGCCCCAAGGCGGCCCAAGACTCCTTCACAACGCCCAAGATGGCCTGCAAGACGACCCTGGAGCACCCCAGGAGGGTCCCAAGTCGGCCCAGAGAGGCCCCCAAGGCGGCTTCGGAAGGAGTCAGGCGGGCCAGAAAGCCACCAAGACGGCCCAAGGTGGCTCCAAGATTGCTAAAGGCGGCCCAAGAGGCCCCCAAGAGGCCCAAGACGCCTCCAAGAGGGCCTCCAAGAGAGCCCGGAGAGGTCAAACTCATTGATTGTATTATGTTCCTTCGGTTTTCGAAGGACTTGAGCATTTGCTGCGTTCGGCCTTCTGACGGACCGAGAAGGCCCAGGAGTCCCCAAAGATCGCCCCAAGATCGCCCAAGGGGCCTCCAAGACGTCCCCAGAACGGCCCAAGAGGCCCCAAAGACGGCCCCAATAGGGACCCAAGACGGCCCAAGAGACCTTCAAAACGCCTATGATGGTTTCCAAGACGGCCCTGGAGATCGGCCCAGAGGGTCCTCAAGACCGCTTCCGATGGCGTCAGACGGGCCGGATGCCCCAAGATGGCTCCAAGATGGCCCAAGACGGCCCAAGAGGCCCCCAAGGGGTCTCCAAGACGGTCCAAGAGGCCTCCAAGAGGGCCCCCAGGAAGGCCCGAAGAAGCCACATCCATTGATTTTGCATTGGTTTTGAAGTACTTGGGCATTTGTTGTTGTTGCCCGAGAGGGCCCCACACATCGCACCACGATCGCCCAAGGGGCCTCCAAGATGGCACCACGACGGCCCCAGAAGCCGCCAGGACGGCCCCCAAAAGGCCCCACGACGGCCCAAGAGACCCCCAATACGCCCAAAATTGCTTCCAAGACGGCCCTGGAACACCCCAAGAGGGCCCCATTCAAGCCACTTGGGCTTGAGCAGTTTGCCTGGGCCGCTCTCTTGCCGTCACGAGGCGCTTGAGGTCCATCGCACATGCGCCAGCTTTTGGCCGCCACTTGCCGTGACTAAAGAGAGAGTCGCAGCCGCGGGCGTTGCTTCGAAGGCGCCGACCCCGCAGGCCAGGCAGCCCAGAGCCCCTGGAGTCAGTGCTAGGCTTGCGGCCGTTTCGAGTGGATCAGCATCTTGTCGACCAACGATTGTAAGTGTTCCAAATGCGGTCGCAAAGTTCGTCTGTATAAGCCTCGCACTAAGGACCCCAACGCGGCACAGGTTGCGGGCGGTGCTCGAGCTCCCCAGCCAGGCGCAGCGGATGAAGTCACGTCGCCCCAGCAGCTAGTGGCCACCACAACCGACGAGCAGCTCCGTGCGATGAGGCAGAAGAGGATCAGCCACCTGCAGCCGACCCCCTTCCGCGGTGTCCGACGCCAATTCAGGCATGGCCATCGAGTCGGTGCGCAGGGCAGTTGGGGCTTGGAAGGACGCAGACCACAAGCGCGCCCACTGCGTCATCAATGTTCTCAAACTTCGCGCGTCTCTGAAGCGCGCGGAGGAGAAGGAGTGCAAAACAGCAGAGGTTTTAGCGCAGGCCGAGGAGGCCAAGAAAGTTGCATCGGCATGTTTCGCAAAAGTTGAAGGAGTCGCTCCCAAGGCCGAGGGGAAGCCCCAGGCAGACTCCACGGCGCCCAACTTCCAGGTCACTTGGGACGACACGGTCTTTGAGCACGCCGACGAGTTAGAGCTGAAGCAGGAGGAGCGCGAGACCGTGAGGAAACTCAGGGCCGAACTCATCGGCCTCCGTGATCAGCTCGCCGCGAAAAACGAGGAGGTCAAGGCTAAGTTGTCAGAGGCGGCCGCTTTGAAGGTGGACGTCGAGAATCGCTTGGCCAAGAAGCGCAAGGGCGAGGGTGGCGTTGCCGCCCCCGGCGGTGGAGACAGCGCTGCTGAGGCTGCTCCCGCCGCCGCCGCTGCTGATGAGAAGACTGGCGCCGCTGCCAGCCCCGAGGTGCAGCCCAAGAAGACCAAGCTGATCGCCGAGTCCGCCGCCAAGATCTCGGCCGCCAAGTTGGAGGCGCAGCGCACGGCCTTTGGCAAGGGCAAGGGCGGCGACGCAGCGCCCAGGGGCAAGGGCCCAGGCGGCCCACCAGGGGGGGCGGCGGCTTGACTAGCTGAGTCAGCTGCCGCCACGGGAGCGCCTTTGGCACCGCTGCAGGACTACGCACCCCAAGTGGTTGCGGCGGCAGCTGCCGCGCCTGGCCCCGAGCCAGGTCGCGAGGGCAGCGCGCGGCATCGCACCAGCAGCTTCTTCTTCGCCATCGTCACTGCCATGGGGGGCAAGTGCTGGCGATTCGCGGAGTCAAATAAAAAAACAGCCACTTCGACTTCTTCGGCTTCGTGGAAACCCACG